TCAGGGCATTTGTGCCCATTCAGCACTCAGCTCACAGTTATAGCTCTTTTTTTTTTTGTCGTCATGGCCACGTTGGGCACGCTGACCCAAATACAAGGATTCAGGTTTTCTCTGGGCACTATAGGACAAAGTTATACAGATAGTTAGGTTCAGAGATTTATTAAGTACTCCAAAGAGATGAAAACAGAAAAAACCAAACACTTATGTGTTGCAGTTACACTGGGAGAGACAGCCCAACTTTTCAATTTTCTTTTTCCACCATTACACACACTGCTATTTAGAGACCGGCCTCTGTTCCTGCTTTGGTCTCATCAATAGGCCCGACTGTCTGCTCCGATCCTTCACACAAACAGCTCTTTCTTCTCAAACTCACTCCTCGCAGGTTTAATGGCTGAAACAGTTCAGAGAAGAGTTAATTGCTGCACAGCACATGGCTGGCACACTGATCCACAACTGCAGCAGCTAAAGAAGCGTGAATGTGTCACAAGATGCCCTACGGTTTGACACATGTGACGAAGGACACGTGAAACCGCTGTTTGGGTCAAAGGAGCACAAAACAAAGAGTTGTTTTCACCATTTTCATAAATAATAAATGGACTGTACTTATATAGCGCCTTTCTACCTTATCAAGACACTCAAAGTGCTTTACACTACAATCTGTGACCTAATTTACTCATTCATACAGCACTCTACTAGATCTCTACACAGCTAATTGAACAAATCATTCTAAAGAGACTAATCACATTCATACACTGATGGGATACACATCGGAGGCAGTGAGGGGTTCAGTGTCTTGCCCAGGGGCACTTTGACATGTGACTGCTGGTGGATTCAAACCCCCAGCTCTTGCATTGGAGGACGACTGCTCTAACCACTCAGCCACAGCCGCCCAATCATGATTACATGTTCAGTATTTTTTATTTGCTGCATTTATGAATAAGTACCTTCACTAGAATTCAAATAATTTTCGTACTGCCCCACATCTGCACTCTGTATCAGGGGTGATTCTAGAATCTGCCCTTTAGGGGTGTTTGCTTAGCCCCCAGTGCTGACAATGGCTCTTGGCTTGAACAACGTGATGGCCACTAGTGTCAGAAGCATTCATCATGTGGGGGGGACACAATGGTGGGGGGGTCTGGGGGGTCCTTCCTGCAGAAAATTTTGAATAAAGTAAATGCCATTTCCTGTATTCTGGTGTATTTTAACAGGTTTTTAAACATCTATGTTTACCTACGTAACACTTGATTCAATAACTATTTCAGAGAGATCACAACGAGAAGTAGTGCTAAGCTACATGTAGTGCTCTGCTTTACATTACACAACCTGATAAATGATTTGTACAAAACCATTGTTAACTGATCATAACAAAGACTAAACTTATGCAACCAGACGTTGCAACATCTATACTGACAACACACAAAACATGAAGCCGGCAAAGGCACCGAGTTTTAAGGGAAGGTTGTAGCATAATATATAGTGATTATATATATATATATATATATATATATATATATATATATAGATATATAGATATATAGATATATAGATATATATATATATATATATATATATAGATAGATAGATAGATAGATAGATAGATAGATAGATAGATAGATAGATAGATAGATAGATAGATAGATAGATAGATAGATAGATAGATAGATAGATAGATAGATAGATAGATAGATAGAGATATAAATATAGATAGATAGATATAGATAGATAGATATAGATAGATATCGATATATCGATAGATCGATAGATAATGTGTGTATTTATATATATATATTTTCAATTTAGCTTATTTTTCAGGGGTGCTGCGTTAACATGTCCAGGTGCTTGAGCACCCCCAAAACAAGGCTAAATTCGCCACTGCTCAGTATCAACATGTTGTTGTGTGCAGTTTTAAATGGAAAGCTTTAATTTATTTTCCACATCCTCAACGTTCTTGTTTTCCTAATTATTTAAATAATGTAGAAGTATGACATTTTTGTTTCCTCTCTCTTTGTATGTAATACTTGTTCAGACCTTAAAGAGATACTTCAAATCTTTTGATATGGGGTTCAATCTAGGGTTATCAACAATTCATATCTTATCAGAGTCAGAGTTTATTTATTGTCGTTCCACCACATGTGGTACATGCGGCGGAACAAAATTATGTATGATCATCATCTGTATTGATATCATTATCTGCTCTAGATAACTATTTGAGCATGCCAATAGCATGCTCCAATACTTGTGGCAGCTGAGCCATTGTGCTGTGTGATAAAACTGAACACTTTTATAGAGTGGCCTTTTATTGTGGTCAGCCTAAGGCACACCTGTGTAATAATCATGCTGTCTAATCAGCATCTTAATATGCCACACCGGTGAGGTATCCTGGCAATGGAGAAATGCTCACCAACAGATTTACACAAATTTGTGAACCATATTAGAGAGAAAAAGACTTATTGTGCACATAGAAAAAGTCTTAGATCTTTTAGTTCAGCTCATAAAACATGGGAGCAAAAACAAAAGTGTTGTGTTTATATTGTTGTTCAGTAAATAGTTTAAATTTAATGGTAAAGAAAAAGACAGACTGAGTTGGAATTTCACTAAGCTTAAGATCTTCAGTGTTATTAACTTTTAAACATTTCTAAACTTTTTCTGAGATTGTATGTTTTTACATCTTATAGCTAAAGATGGAGTGTAAACAGCTCTAAAGCCAAAGTGAACCTGCCGGTTTGCATTATTGACCTTACAGCTGAAAAGGTTTAAGAGCATTGATCTTCTCTTCTGATGTTTCCAGTTGTTGCTCTGTTTTAATCATTTTGATAATGGTGGCCATAAAAACAAGGAAGAACAGTGGTTACATATTAATTATGGCTTTTTCCAGTCATCCAACAACCAGGATGTCTGATTCTCAATATATAGTATTCCATGCTGCTCTCTGGTGGATGGTAATGTACTCACACACACAGCTGAACTCAGCTTTTAGCTGATGGCAAATGTAAAAAAACAAATACTGGAGTTTTGTGTTTTACATCAGGCTCTCTGAGGACGTCTTCTTACAAACTTTGTCACTTCAAAGCACTTCGCTTAATCTAAACTGGTCAATCTTTGTCCCACGGTGACAATCCTTGTTAATTTTTGTATCCAGTTTTTGTTACACTTTCGTGACTGTAAATTTTAAAATGTCAATATATAATAAATACAGTACAATTCAACACACTGGTCTACAAGTTGGTTGACCTGACCATTTGTGGATAGTGACTATGTATATTATCTATGAAGTTATTTAATTTGAAAGAGCAGCATAGTTCTTTTGTCCATGCACATTAGAAAAATAAAAGGCATGCCTTGAAGGAATGCTCATCACACGCCGCCCTTCATGACAGCGTTTAAGACTTATTTGATTTTGGTTTAAAAATATAAAGTTATAATTTTTGTCAAACCATGAAATAAAGCAACGTTTTGTGTTAGCTAAGATCAATTATCTTTGGTGGCCATCTTGAATTGAGTTGACTACAAAAGTTGTAGATGTGCATCCAATGAGTTTCATTAAAATCTGTCCAGTGATGCATGAGATATTTTGCTAACATTTTGACCTCATTAATGCTAAAATTTTAAGTTTTATAGCAAAAGTGAATGAATCTCAGCTACAATCTCACCAAATATTAGCATAAATTCTATAAAACAGTGAACTGCAGCCATTTTTGTATTTTCTAATGACAGTTGGCTGTGACGGCCATCTTGAATTGGCTCCATAATCAACTACCGGTAGTTATAATGTTACATCAAATGATTCTTTCAGAGGTCAAACATTTAAAACCACAATCTTTTTAGTGCACAGAGCATGCATTAGGGATCAGTCTCAGCTACTGTCAAACCATATTTTAGCTTCCAAGAGTTGGAAAAATTAAATTAGCTGCGGCAGCCATCTTGTATTGGATGTTATTCAGTTACAGATTTCAAGGAACTGGTAATGCAGCTCCTGTATGAGTCGTTCTCGTTGCGGTCTTGTCTGTTCCAGTTTGTCAGTGTCACAACTTTTAAATGGTAATTTTTAAGTTAAAATAAAAACAATGTTTCTTTAAGTTAATAGATCTTTATTTGATTTCATATTGTATGCTTTCTCATTCAAAAGGCATGAAAATAGAAAAAGAGACAGAAAATGGAATATGGATATAAATGTACAAAGAGAGGCAAAATCTTTACAACCATTAACAATCAGTGACTTCATGGTGGCACGGGCACAGCACTTTGGAATAAATTAGACCAAAAAGATTTCATCTAAAGCCACATCGAACACAAGCTGACACCATGGTTAACATTTGACTCCATGCAACGGCCCGGCATTTAAAACGTACCTTAATTTCATCCACAAACAATAGAAAAAAATAATTTAAGTGCATTATCTTCCCTCCTGTTTGGCACTGCTAAACATACAAAACTCAGTCCCAGTATTTTCTAGAACTAGTGCGCGCCCGTTCATACTGGAAATGTGAAAACTCCACAGAGAAACACACAGTGTAACCCAAGTCTATACAGTCAAGTCTCACTGTAGAACACAGACTGAGGACGATGGCACGGATCGAGAACTCCGACTGGTCCGTTTACAAAGAGGAGCACAGGAACACAGTCAAGTACGAGATGACAATAGGCCACATTGGTCGGAACAGAACCCTGTCTACTCTCAGCTACTTTACATTTAAATCTTCAGACCTCCATTTAAAAATCAACTGAATCCATTCACAAATATTACAAATAGCAAAAAGTTGGCACAAACTGATTTACCGAGCGTGCAAATTACCAAGAGGCATCACTTTAAGTCCACAGAAGTCAAGATGCTAGTGCAATAATAACATTATTTCAACATAATAAATAAGGAACGCAAAGACAAAGAAAACAACAATTATTCAACAATTCGCAGAAACATCGAGTCAGTAGAGAATTTAACCAAGGCACACGTGCACAAATCATGTACCAGCCAACATATGCACATGCTCAGGCACGAATGTTTAGTACGGGATCTGGTTTTGGTAATACTGGATCATGTCATACGTCCGACTCCTGTTGTAAAAGAATAAAAATATGCAATCAGACAAATGCTTTCTGGAGTCAGCAAAAAAATAAAAAAGGAATGAAACAAGGAAATGATCTACCGACCTGTTGCTGAGGAAACAGTTCTGGATAACTTTAATGATGAAGGAAGCGGCATCTTTCTCACTCAAACCTGGGTTGAACCTCTGCCTGATTGTGGAGAAAATTAACAACAGCTTGTAACATTTAAAATATTGTGCTTTTCGTCGTACAAGTTACAGCGGAGTATAAGTCGCATCAGTCCAAATATGTCTAATAAAGTGGGAAAAAACGTAAACAAGTCGCTTCGCCGTATAAGTCACATCTATTATGCGTCACTGCTGATTCGTCACATTTGTTATGGGTCACAGCTGAACACCCAGAAACGTGGGCTGGTGTGCCCAAAACAGATACGCTTACCGGTAGTTGTCAAAAGCCTAGAGGTCCTGTAGTGCCTCTAGCGGCTGCAAATGGTAGAGTTCAATATTTTTAATGTCAGAAAGAATGAAAGCATCAGATGTCAGTCAAAAATTGGGTTATAAATATGGGGGGGGGGGGATATATTAGTCACTTTGGTGTATAAGTCGCAGGACTTACAAATTTATGCAAAAAGGTGCGACTTATACTCCGGAAAATACGGTACTTACATGATTATTTAGTTACAGAAGCACTAAAGCCCGACTAAGACTCACTTGAGTAGTTTGATTGTCTGTCCTCTGAAGCAGGGAAGACCAGTGTCCAGCATGAGATTCACTAAGGAGACCACAGCATCCATGTAGGGCCTGGTTCCCAAGAGGACAAGGCACCATTACTACCATCTGACTGTGAAGTCTGAGGTTACTTTAGGTCATCTGCAACTCACCTCACTGCAAGGTATCCTCTCACACACATCTCCATGAACCACTTGAACGGTGTTGCCTCCATTTTCCCACCCATGATCATCACCATCTCATCTGTGAGTTTGATGTCTGGCTCCCAGCCGAGGTTCCCGCCAGGAGAACTTTCAAACATGAAGCCGAAATCTGAAAACATTCATGAACACAACAGAGACCACAGAACAAGAAGGATTGTTAGGAATACTTCAGTAAGCAATGTAAAGATAATGTCTTGTCTCTTTATAAACAAGGTGGTCAAATAAATGTTTTTTTTTTTAAACAATATACTGCTGAAAACTATGCTGCAAGTTTTTATTTTCTTTACACAGCTTACACGTAGGTCATGATGTGCCACAAACTTTGACTAACATTTAAAAAAAAAGAAATCATGCTTTGGGGACAAACAAAAAAAAGCACACCAATGTGGATGAGATGGCCTTGGCTGTCCAGCATGATGTTTCCGTTGTGTCTGTCTTTGATCTGCAGCAGGAAGAGCAGCAGGCTGTAAGCTGCCATACTGCGGATGAAGTTGTACCGCGCCTGAAACAACAAGTATGAAAGGGAAGAAAAGTTTAGAGGGTTAGTGAGAGAGATCATCAAAACATGACCGAGTACAGATGACGTTTACATAAGGTTGATAGAGATAGTTAAATTGGGTATTTACTTTCTGAAATGCGAGCGTGGATTCATCTCCGTATTGGTTCCTGAAGTAGTCGTACATCCCGAAGTCCGTCTGTCGGCCCAGCTGGTCACGAGACTTGCAGTCTGGGATGCACTCAATCACTCCACACTGACGGAACAACAGAACACAAATGATAAAAAGGTGATTGTAGTTATAGACCAGAGGACCTGAGGATCTGAATGAAACCTGCCATTTTACTGCAGGCCTGTTTACACTTTTGTGTGATAGTAAGAGAAGGTTTATTCATAAACCCTTTTAAGAGAAACAAAAGTTGACTAAAAGGACATACAGCTTAAACAACTAAACTAAAATGAAATTAAAAAACATATAACAGAATTAAACTGACAATATATTAAAGCAGATATTGGTGCTCAGAATGAGTCTCAAACAGTTGGAAATTTAAGCCCAAATATGGCCCAACATCCTCTGTGCTAGTCTTCTCCATTCAGAGGAAGGCCCATCAGACAGAACCGAACATGATGGAAATGAGCCGTGCGTTATTAGAACAGCACCCTCAGGCAAACCATGAAGTGAAGTGGCTACAAGGTGGACTCACACAACCCGAACAAGTAAGTTTCCTTCCACTCAGCGCAGGAAACTTCAGGAAGAGGCTTGACTCAGTTTAGAAATGGAAAATTTAGCAGGCATGGCTAAGAACAAGCAAGAATACAGAGTTTTTTTTGTTTTGTTTTTTTAAAGCACATGACTAACCAGTTACTGGAATTTCCAATATAAAACTGCACAAATGCCTAAACAATTTACAGAACCAAAAACTAGCAAAGATGCTACAAACAGTACACAAGCCACACAGTCCTGCTTTGTAAACTGATTATCCAGCTTTAACTTGTTACCAGGTAATGAAATATGTACTACAGCAGCCTGTGACTGGGTTTTCTGTCAAGTCTTAGGGTATAAACACATTTGATCTCCAGCTTTTAAATACTAAAACTAATCCAGACAGCATATTTTCTGATAATGTTAACACGTTGTGACTTTATAGACTTTGTAAGAAGTGGTAAAGTGTAAAGAAACAACTCACTCCAGGAGCTGTGGCCACAACTCTGTAAGGAAACACATAAAGATCCAGACCAACCATCTGGAAGATGTTCTTGAACAAGCTGATGATTTGAAGAGCCAGCATGTCCTGTAAAAACAAACAAATGGTAAAGAACTGGACAGCTAGCAAAATCTGATCAGAGACGGATCACAGATGAAAGCAGAGGAGGAAGTAAACGATCAGGGGACCTGTCTACAGTCGTCTCCAACTTTAAAGATGGCTGCCTGCCAGCAGACTCTCCTGGCCTCTTCTTCGTTTTTCACCTCGTCTACAGAGTCTGAGCGAGACTGAAGGCCTGAGGGAAGACGTTAAGATGGAGAACAAATTTACCTGTGGTAAGTTTCCCTGTATGAATTATGACTGCACAAAAATCCCACAAAGCAGAATATTTTAATCCATCTGCGGAGGAGAATTTTAACAGTACCTTCTTTTTCAAGCTCACTGACTCCACACCTCTTGACTTTGAACTTGGCCAGGTATGGAGCTTTGGCAGCACTAAATGGAGACGAACAGAAGAGAACAAAATGCAGTGAAGCTTGAATTTATTTTAGTTAGGATAAGTTGGTAATTTGAAGGCCCACCTCTGCATGGGAGTCCCAGACTTATAGTCTATGTCCAAAACTATGGCCTCTGGGTTACTGGGAAGATAACAGCCACGCTGGACTTTAATCTGGGACAAGGCTTCCAGGCAGGCCTTCTTCCTCTCCTCCCCTTTTGGAAAAGGCCTGAAAAAGACAAACAACTTAAAAACAGACTTTGCACACTTCTATGTCTGAACATATGCTCCTCAGACCATTGACATCTATGGGCATCTCACTAAATGACTCCAGACCACAAGTGACAGCCAGGTTCTGCTGCTGGTCACACAGGAGAGTCGCTAATAGGGAGTGGAAGCCGGGGGACAGCAGAGGTTTCTCCCCTGTTGTTGCAATTAGTGTTGTAATGAGGCCAGAGGGGAACATGTGGCTCTCTAGAGAGCTGACAAAACACTTTCTGCATGCAGGCTGTCAAAAAGCAGCTCATCAGCTGCACTGCGATCACATCGGCTGACGTGCAGTCAGAGATGAGACACAGCACAGTAAACTGTTTTCCACAGTGATGCATAATTAAAGTGACAGAGGAGCAACAAATGGCTAAATTAATGAACAACAAAGGGATTTAGAGAGCAGAACACAGGAGATGGCACAAAGAACAAAACATCTTTGCTTGTGGGAAATCTCACATCATAAACACCTTAAATGTTACCTGGAGGGATCTTTCAACAAAAGTTATACCAACGTAATTACTTTAAAGCTTTTATAAACATCAAAATCACTTAATTTGTAAACATTTTTCTTTAAATCTCTATAAATTACATTAGATTATGAGTGCATTATATTGTATCAGTGTTTCAGTCTTCTACAGCAAATGAAGAAGAATTTAGGAGAAAAAAAAATCCAAGTTAAAGTAATAAAAACAGGAGATTGAGGTGAAACAAATAAATCAAAGTTAATGTAAATGTGTTTGCCCTTTAGTAAAGCAAACATCTAAAACTAACTTAAAAAAACAAAACAAAACAAAAAAACAGATAATTTAAGCATTTTGTGAGCCTCCAAATGAACCTGATCTCACCTGTACAACTAACTTAGATTAAACTACAACCTCCACCTTGCTGCACACCTTTTGACACCCAAAAACACAAAAATACATTTAGCTGTGAGGTTAAAGGTCATCACACATCAAATAAACATTTACAAAACATCACACTTGCATCCCTTGCATACTTCAAAGTAGGGATGCACGACATTATCGGCATGGTATCGGCCGATATTAGCGCTAAAGTTCAATAGTGGACATCGGCCATTCCATTAAAATAACTTGCCGATATAAAAGGCGCTGTTTTTACCTGCAGCGGTAGCACAACATGATGGCGTGGCAGCACAACGTGATGACGTCACGTGCGCCTACCTGATCTCAAGGCGGAGAGGAAAATTCAAAATGTCGGCGGTGTGGAAGTTTTATTTTTCGTTGGTGAGGATGTCGGATTCCGAAAATTTATGGACTACGTTGAGCCTCGCTACATCGTCCCCAGTCTGAGATTTTTTTCCAACGTGTTAGCCCCGTTAGCATGATTAGTCTTACGGCACAATGGATAGACAAAAACTTTGAACTTAAAAAGTCTCTCCTTCGTGCACAGGAGTGCAGAGGATCCCACACTGCAGCTATAGGAACCTGGAACAAGCCTCCACATGTGAGACAGCATTGCGGGTGACTAATGCTAATAAATATTTAACACTTTTCATTTAATACAAGTTAAAGTGCTATGCATATCATAAGGCTGTTACTGAATATATGTCACCAGCTCTTACAGCTGTTACACAATTTTTGTAGCAAATAAGCCTAAATAAGAGGGCTATGTTCTGACAAAGAAAAGTATATAAAATATCTGTATCGGCATATCGGCCAAAAGTCCAATATCGTGCATCCCTACTTCAAAGGTAGTTTTTCACTGGGCTGCTGCTGGTGACTAGTTGGGAGAATGGTATGTGCAAGGGAGTTTTTGAAGTACAGCCCAACCGATATATCAGCAGGGCCAATATTTTAGGCCAATATAAGAATTTGGGGACCTATCGTATCAGTGATAATTGCCTCATTATGTGTTGATACAAAGGCTTCTAATTTTCATCCCTAAAATGCTGGGAACGAGCTATACAATGTATCCAGCAGAGGGCGCATGTGGACTACTTTCAAAACATAGCCATGCACTTTAACTTTCACTTTCAGCACAGCCGAAGCAGGGAGCAATACTGTGTAGCATAGTTTGCTGAACAGAGCATTATATGTTTATTTCAACTGATCTGTAAAATAAAAAATAAAAAATCAGCAATAATAAATCCTCTTCATCCTCCAACCCGCTTGTCATTAGCTATGTGTCTCTCAAGTTAGAAAGCTAACATTTAGATAACCTAGCATAGGCTATTGCCTTGTAAAACTTTAGGCAGAACAATAAACGTAACGTAGAAGTAAAATATATCAGTGTTAGTAACAGTATCTTTGTCGTCCTCAATGAAATGCATTGTTTGTCTAAAATCTTCTTTGCAAAGTAAAAAAAATGGCTGCGGTCCATACTAATTAGGCCTTCATACGTGACCGACTGTTTAAACAAGAACAGAGAAGGGTGTTTCTTTGTTTAATTTATATTTTTGTAACACTCGAAAAATTTATGGTGAATAGTGGAGGATAGAAAATAGACTGTTTCAAGACTTCAAGTGTTGAAACAGGTTTAAAAGTAGCTGTTTACTTAGATTCTTGGGGGTGGACAAAGCTCTAAATTTTTCAGCCATTAGATCTGTTATCGGCATTAGCCTGCCTCCCTCCCAATATCAGTAGCAGCGATAGCCAAAATTTCTATATCGGCCGGGCTCTACGCTGAATTGTAATCTAACTGAACTGAGAGATGCCTAAATATTTTAGCCCCTGTGCCCTGAAGTCATTTCTCACAACAGAATGATGTATGATGCACAGATGGACAAAATGCCTGACGCCACAGCTGTCACAAGTGCAAAGAAAAGAGAAATCAGGTGGTAAGGGTCAGGAGTAAAGCGTGGTTGTACTTGATAGTGGCAGACACGTTGGTAATCTTGTTGAAGAAGTCAAACTCTCTCTGGTAAAAGTCTTTGGCCGGGCCAGAGAGGGAGCCTGTGATCTCCTCCACCATCTCTTCTAGCAGCTCGCCGATGTCAGCTGCGTTTTAAAAAAACAAAATAAAAACAAACGGCTGATTTATACTTTTTTATTTGCTCATGATGAGTCAGGTGGAAACGGAGGATATCTCACGGTCTTTCTGGTGTCCTTCTTCATCCAAGTATATGTTGGTCTTCATGTTCCAGATGAACTGGTGAGCCAGCAGCTGAGACTTCTGAGCGGCCCACAAGATGTACTCTCTGACATAACCCATCTGTATTTTAACGTAAAAAAAAAAGAGAAAAATTAGACGTCGTAAGAGGCTTTAAAATAATGTTCTGTCTGAGAAAATGTAGTACTCACCTTGTCGTATCGAAGAGCTTGGACAATTTGAGGAATGTAAAATAAAATGGCATCCTAAAAATATTAGTAATAAAAGATTTATTGCATAGAAAACATAAATGAAAAAAGACAAGTATTAGTTGTTCCTGTGTCATGTGTTTATGTGCTTACAGGAGGAAAGGAGCGCAACACTTTGACCCCGTACTGAGCCGTGAGGGGGTGAGGAGGGTACATGGAGGAGAAGTAGGACAGTCCAGTTGGAGGGTCTGCTGAGGCCCAGCACAGGATGTGACTCAGTTCTGGAGAGTCAGCATCAATTGTGTGCCACGTTACCAAGAACTAAAAAAAAAGAAGAAAAGAAACAAAAAAAAATCAGTTTAGTCAACATTTACATCCTGTGATGCAATCATCATCACAGGATCAGATCTGATGGTGCACAAATTAACCTCAGGAGGAAGCTCTGTTTACGAGTTCCTTAAAAAAAAAACAAGTTTATAAAATCACAACAGGTCATTCCGTGGGGAAGCTGAGCTCTGCCGCCTTTACAACAGGTCATTAAGAGCTCATTCAATAACAACATATCTACACAGGTGAAGTTACGACAGCTTGAAACCAAATCTTTCATCATTAAAAACTTTTCTTGTTGTCCAACTTGTTGTAGCCTTTCTGAAACGCAGTCACTGTATTTTAGTGATAAAATGTTATTAATACATTAAGTTTCATGGCTGTACTTGGTGAGTCCAGTGTATCAAAAGCTCGTTTACTTTGTGTTGATTGTAAAACACAACAAACATACGTCCAAACCAGACAAAACCTTCTTTAATCGTAATAAAGTAACAAGACACACCTTCTGAATGACCCGTTTGTGCACAGAGTATACAATTCAGGCAAAATATCAAAATAGAAATAAAACAATAAATGTCTCAAATAAAACACAAAAATTTTTAAATGAGTCATGGAGTTCCTCAGGGTTCAGTGCTTGGACCAATACTCTTTGCTTTATATATGCTTCCATTAGGTAAAGTTATTAAACAGCATGGGATAAACTTTCATTGTTATGCTGATGATTACACAGGTACAGTATATTTGTCCATGAGACCCAATGAATCAAATCAGCTACTTAGGCTGCAAGCATCTTAAAGACATAAAAACTTGGATGACCCTTAATTTTTGTTTTTGAACTCGGACAAGACTGAGGTTTTGGTTTTTGGACCTGAACATCTTAGGAATAAATTTGGCAGTCTTTCACCGATGGTATTAATTTGGCCTCCAGTTCTACTGTTAAATACTTTAGTGCAATTTTTGATCAGGATGTCTTTTAACCCCCATAATCAAACATAACCCAGCCGCTTGTCCTGAACCTGGTTCTGCTAGAGGTTTCTTCCTCATGAGGGAGTTTTTCCTTTCCACTGTTGCCTTTATGCTTGCTCAGGATTAGAGTCTGCAATGAAGTTAGACTCAAAGCGGTTTGCTTCTCAGATAAATAATGTTATTAACTTACTTTTTATGTATATGAATGTTTCTGTTCAGTGTCCTGAGAGGACTTCTGTTGTGGCTTGGAGCTATATAAACTGAATTGAACTGAGTCAAACACACAAAGATATTAATGGTGAATGCATTTACCTTTAAGTTTTTATACTCAGTGTCTGTTTAATGTTAGAATACAGTTGAAAATATAAATATTCTTAATTTTTACCTTGTTTAATGCGTACAATTTATGCACCACTATTGATTTCACATACCTCTGAAAGAAAAACATTATATTGCTCAAACGTCTTGGTCTTGTGTGCTTCCTTTATAAACAAAGACCAGATTTTTCTTTTAATTTAAATATACCTTTTTTTGTTGTTGTTGTTGAATAAAACCTGCCGTACTCGTGATTCGTGGTGCGGAGCTCACTCACCTTGACGGCCTCAGGAACATCACACACAGCAGCTGGATCCATTCGCACCAGACGTGTCACCTCAGACACAATGGACTCTGTGTTTTTAAATCTAAAAACAAACAAGAAAAAAGCAAACAAAACTATTTGTATATATTCAAAAAACAACAGGTTCAGACCAAATAGGACAGAGTTCTGGGTTAAACCATTTTTAGTCGACAAAGTACACAATGGAAGCTGGAAATTATTTCCCAATAAATATTCTGAAATAAACTGCATTTGAAGTTAAAACTGCCACGACTTGTAGGTCGTTGTTTCATTGCGTACCTGGCAGGCAGCTGCAGGGCGAGGTACGGAGCTATGCTCCAGGCCAGGTTGACATTGTCTTTCCACTGTTTCTCTGTCAGACTGATGTATTTGGATCTCCAGTTAGCGATACTGGTCTCCACAGATTGCTCTGTTGTGATAGCAAGCTCCTGGGTGGATAACGGGTTGTACCAAATGGTCAGCCGCTCAATCTCACTGGCCTGAAGAGGAACACACAGGAGGGGAACTTAAATTACAACAAGGTCTGAAAGGTGTACATGTAGGTCTCTTTATGGTTTACTTTATCATTACTTAATTAGTCTTGTAAAAAGTTGTAGAAAAAAGGTAAATACCAGTAAAGCCAATAACAGCGTCCTGCGTTTCATGTAATATTTGTGCAGCTGGGTGCCTCGGTTGCTTTTTTTAGAAAGCCCTAAAACAATACAGAAATCACATTTATTATATATATATATATATATATATATATATATATATATATATATATATAAACTAAAAGCTCTTGTTTCACTTGAGCATAAAAAGCAGCTGGAGGTTGACTGTGCAACGTTTGTTTTTAAGAGTCGGTGTTTTTCACCTGACTTCTTGGAGAGGGTGGACATCCCAGAGGAGAGAGGGTAGGTGTTGATCCATCCCTGAGGAATCTGCTGCCTCTGGCCTACAGCCACATCCAGACTGCTGCGGCTGTCTGCCACGGCCATCGCAGACAAGCTGTTCACAGACATGTCCTGGGGATCTGAACAACAACAACAACAACAAAAAAGATAAATGATCTGGCCTGTAACTTAAAAATTATAAATAAAAAATTAAGATACTCAGCTTGTGTTGGAGAGTTTATGTAATTTTTGTTGAAAAACAACTTTTTTTTTTAATTCCTTTACCTGGTGGAACCAGCTGAATGGCAGTCAGGTACTTCTTGTCAGACTGCAGGCAGGCGTAGAACTTGATCATTATACTGATGTCTTCTCTTAGCCTTTGGTCTGTCTGAGTGGGAAATCTGGGAGCGACGCTAAAGGAAACAAGAAAACGCAACACAGTTTTATGAACGGAGCAAAAACAAGTTCAACTTCCTATTCTGGTCACAAAAAATGATCATTATTTTTACCTAAAGTAGTCAAAAGCTGTGGAATAGATCTTCTCTCGGAGCACGTTTCTGATAGTGGCGTTTGTCACAACATCAGCGTGCAGCAGAGTCAAACCCAGAGTCATCAGTCTGAAATAAAGAGCAGTTTATCGTTTCGCACTGCTGTTCAGCACATTATTAAATCACACAAAACGATACCTGAATCTTGGTCCGATGGCAGCAACGTGTCGGTTTAGGCTGCTTTTGGGTCCTCCGACACTAAGACAGAGAGATCTCTGCAAAATGGAAATGAAAATCTCCACCTGGTCCGCGCTGCTGTATTTGGCTATTTCAAACCTCTGCACCAGAAACTAAGGGGGTGAAAAAATAAAGAGATGAGAAGTTTGAGTATGAATAAATAAAATAGTATGAATGAAATAGATTTAGGGTTTTCCCCAAGATTGAACATTTGATATGCGGGATGCAGAAAGACATGTCCTCAAAGTTTATAGACCCGGACACAAGAATCAGATCAGGCTGAAAATGCTTGGATGATGCTGTCACAGTTTATCACTTCCTGGGTTTAAATCCTGATAAACATTGTGCCATAATTAAAAATCTTCTCTTATTGCCAATAAAGCTATGATTCTCTTAAAAAAAAAAAATACATGTAAATATATATAAAACGAGACGAATCATTCTTACTTTATATCAAAAAACAGTTTATTTAGATGTTTTGTAGAAATTTTCCAAAGAAAATAAGTAAAATTTGAACTCTGACCTCCATTTCCATAAAATAAACTAGACCTAAACTTCATGCAGATGAGCTGAAAGAAACTTGACGTTCAGACTCTTAAAATGTTTTCCAACACAACCAAAATGAACAGCACAGAGTCAATAAAAAGGAGTAACAGGTCTACATCAATTAAAAACTAAACCGTTTTGTGGAACGTGGAGTTAAATAATACACATTTTTATTAGTGCTTTTATATATTTAAATTAATAAATAAAATGAAGATTAACCTCCCATTAGCAAACACTTCAACCCATTATGACTGCGGTGTTAAATGCCAGTAAATCTCCAAATATAGATAATGTGTAATTTATTAATTAAGTGCAGTGATCTTTTCATTTTACAGCTTCAAATTACTCTCATAGTAACATAAAATGGCAATAAAGTAACAAAATTTGAAACCGGATCAATAGTTAACACGTGTGTGTCACTGACCTCTATCCAGAGGAAGTGAGGAACGACATCAGGAGCACAGGGCGCTGGCTGACTTTCCTCTGAGACCGCCAGGGGGCCAGCCTCAACTTTAGCCTCTGAAAACAAACCCATCTTCAGCTCCACGGTCATCTGCCAAGCTCCTGCCATCTCACGCATGAACTTAAGAAGTTTAAACAAGACAGAAGACTTTAAGAAGAAAAATAAACACTGCCTGTCACCATGTATTAGATCGAAACATTAACCTTCTTATAAACACGTTTATTTCACTTTAGGAATACATTCATGAATATACATACCGGCACTTCCACTCCATTGTGTGCAGCAAGGAGCCATTCCCAGCAGGCGATCGCCGTTTCCATGCCATGTTCTGAAAACATCTTCAGTGGAGACCAGCACAGATGGTGCAGCAGCTGTGGGTCACAGTCTGGAAGACGATGAATGAGTCAAATAATCGATAGAAAAAAACAAGTTGCATTACAAAATAAAATTATTATTATTTATATAGTTAAAAGAACCAAATTGAGTAGTCACTTTTGGTCGTTATTAGCAGGGCGGCCATCTTGAACATGGCTTGAGTGAAGGCCTCTGGGTCTTTTCTGTCCAGAGCGCTAGTCATCTGATGGATCATCAACTTGGTGAGGTTGAAGTGGCTGTTAATGGCCTCTGAGAACTGGATCATACCAGCCACCTAAACAGCACACAAACAGACCAGAACGTCTCAGAGAGCAACAACATGAATTAATAAATAATTATAATAAAACTGTACCTCTCCTGTGTAACGGTTTCGTAAGTTGAGTGAAGCCATGAAGTTGGAGTAGTCCTTCTTCACACATGCCGGTCTCTCTGTCAGCAGAGTGGTCTAAACAGAAAATACAGTAAAGGTAACATCTGGGGCCCAACAGTCAAAAAGGAAGTAAGTAGGATAGCTGCACAGTAACACATCTGGATATACTGAAGTATAATGCCTGAGTCCTGTCTGTCAGTATTTAAAGTAGAGACCAACCTGAGGAAAAGCAGCCTATGGATGGCCGCAGGATGGAGCGCAGCATCAGCATAGAGTTAGCCAAATGGAAAATCAGCCAATCAACCCACCCGTCCATTGCAGGTAAGTTACCAGGTAACCAGCAAATCCGTAAACCAGCCAAGCAACCAAGTAGGTAGTTTGGTGCCGTTAAATAAAGACAAAATACAACAAATGAAGCAAATAAAGACACAGATATAGCAGAATGCAAGCCCAAGAACATACAAGAAATGCACAGCAAGCAAAATAACTTCACACAGACTTAGTAAGCATGCTCACACAAGACGTACAGTACTCTAAACAACCAGTTGTTTACAGAGTTACTGTGCAGATTTCATACAGAATTTAATACGCATAAACCAAAAACACTTCTGATCAGTACTAACAAAGCTCCAAAGCAGCTATGATAACAACACATTTGCTGTTAATGTTGGACAAGTGTTAATGAGCTATGCTACTCAACAAACGGAGGCCGATGATGGTTCAATTTTAGCTGTAAAGTGTGCGGCACACTTTAAAAATGCTTCAGTGTTTTTACGTTTCAAGACACTTTATCAAAGTGTGATTGTCTTTAAAAGTAATAATAACAGAAGAGAACAAAACTGCTAAAGCAGCCGACTGTCCTTTATTCTACCTTCTTTAAATATGCCTAAATATGATGGATATAATTTAAAAACTTCAACGTCCAATTAATTAGGTAGAGCATTTTATTTAAACTTAATCTCTGGTAATTCTGAGTGAAAATGTGTGTATATTATTGTGCATGTGTGACTCACGCCCAGTGTAGTGCTCTGTCTGTTGTAGCCAGCGAAGTGCAGGATGCTCTCTGTGGCCATGGCGAGGCCCGTGTGCTGCGACAGCCCCGACACCCAGATCTGATGCTTGTTTAGGTACTCCTGCAACCAAATAACAACTATGAAATACATAAAACGATAACAAAAACAATTTGAACGTTTGCTGTCAAACAAATGTTGCAGCAACTTTCAGTAAACAAGCATACAATTGCATTAGACGTCATTACAAATGTAATGTAAATATACTAAGTTTATTATAATATTAAGCTAAAACAAGGACCAGACCTGTAGGTGGGACTTTGTCACAGAAGGGGCCCATTTCATTGCTTCTTTTAATATCTCGCCGCAGCGAGCTGCAAAGTCCTTCACTATGCTCTGAAATAGAACAGATATTTTACAATTCCTTATTAAAAGCAGAAAAAAAATCTAATATTTTCACTAAATATATAAAAAAGGTGGCATTTCTTGCTTATTTCAGTAACATTTAGCATGGTTTAAAAACACTAAATCTGGATTCTGAGCAGTAAAATAAAGGCTGGCAAACTGAGGCCCAGTGGCTTTAAAAGTGATCCCATGCTGCCCTCTTGTGGTCACAAGTGTTAACAACAGGAACTCACCTCTCGAGCTTCATACGTGTCAGGAGCAGTGATTCTGTAAGGGGTGTCCGGAATGTCGTAGTACGGCTGATCTTTGTGAATGTCCTAAATAAACGAAAATTTATCTTTTTAAACACTTCTCAGAGATTTCAATGGAAACTGTTATTATTTAAACCAAAAATTATTCATCCTCCTAAAGTCATTTTAATCTGACAATGTGTTCATTGTTTGATTTTTATTGATACTTACAGCGCTTAGAGACAGTGTGAGTGTCTGCAAAATGTCTAGCATGGTCTTCAACACTCGACCGCTCCACAGAAGATGAGGGAATCTGTGGGAAATACAAAACTTTATACAAACCCAGAAAAAAAATCACTGTAGTGCCACTTTGATTTATATGTGCCGCTGATTATCCATGCTGCTGATCTTATGCTGCTGATTATTTCATGCTGCTGTATTCAATCGTACTCATCTACTCACACAGACTCGTTCGTGCTGCTGTTCGCCGTATTGTTTCTTTTTATTGTATTCTTAGTTTAGCGTATTTCTTAGTTTACACCTTAGATCCTTATTACTGTTTCTTTTACAGTTATATTCTTCCTGTTGTTGGATGCAACTGGGATCCTGTGTACACCATTTCGTTCCACCTCGTGTACCGCATGCGACACGAATGACAATAAAGAACCTTGAATCCTTGAAACAAACTGCAAGCAGAAAAGATAATCGTCTGCCTGCTACTCACGTTTCGGCCAGACCCGAGAGGTATTTGTCGGCCACTCTGCGGATCCTCTTGTGAGTGTGGTTAAAGTTGACCAACAAAAACTGAGCGTGGCGCTCCAGTTCCTCTTCATGTTCTTTAGTTTTGGGCTAGAAACAGACAAATACACTAAATTTCATCATCAGGTCCTGAAGAGGTAAGTTTTTGCTCAATCAAATTTCTTGCAATGATGTTACCTACTTTTTCTGCCATCATCTGGAGGAAGACATCAAAAACCTTATCACCAACACAAATAATGCATTGCAGCATACCTGCAAGGATTATAACGTAGGTCCAGAGAGTTAATTACAAACATTGAGGATTACATTAGCCAAAGTAGTTGAGGTACTCTACCTGAGCTCACCTGATTTGTCTTTTTGGATTGCTTTGTCTTCATAGTACCGAAACATGACTTGAAACCTATCAGGATCATTGGATCGCAGCATCCTACCAGAATACAAGAGAAAGGAGATTTTAAAAAGCTGCACGATCTGATTTTAACATATCAGGGAATCCGGTGAGACAAAATAAAGGAAATGCCAGCTGGTGGCATTCGAGCTGACCTCATGTATTCTAATCGGTAAACCGACAGCAGGTATGTGGACATGGCAAAGTCGAGCTTATTAATGAGGGCAGATCCTTCAGGAGGAGGGTCGAGGAGGTTACTGATGGTTAACCGCAGTTCACTCAGCTCAGCCTAGAGGACAAAAACACACAATCTAACAACCTGGTGCCACTATTCCAGTCTTAAGTGACAACAAGTCAAGATATGCAAACTGTACCGGCGTCACAGTGTCGTTTTTCAGAGCAGAGTTGTACTGCAGTTCAGAGCGAAGAGGTTCTCCACTGGGGAAGGTGAGGAGGGGAGACTTGGTGGCAATCTCACACACACCTTCATACCACTCCTCTGGCCAAAGCCCTGACAGGACAAAGTATACAAGAAACAGACAAGTTAGCGCACAAATGCCTGTAATCTACATGGGTTATATCAACATATATAGTGAAGATACCATTAATTTACTTTTATTTTACATAAAATGCATGTTTTTTTTACCTTTTCATGGTTTAATCAATAACTTTTTGAGCAGTTTGGAATCAAAGTCCACTAAAACAAACTCAGAACATTAATCTGTCAGCTCCAACTCATCTTATATAAAGATGGAGGCAGTCTGGAAGGGCAGCTGCTGCAGTCATTATTACCATCAAGCTGCTGATGGGACCTGCTAATGCTGCTAACAAGATCCTCCATCTGCCTGCACGGATCGAACTCTACGGACCCGTTTGGTTCCACAGGGAAATCTTGGATGTTCTCCGTCTGCCGGACCCGGATCTGGAGGGCAGTCTGGGAGGGCACCTGCTGCGGTCCTTGTTATCATCATGCTGCTGATGGGACCAGCTAACAAGGCCTGCTAACACTGCTAACAAGACCATGTTGCTAAGATAACCTCACTGTCATCAGAACCACTCTGCCAATAGGACCATGCTGCTGCAGATTTATTTCTTTTTCACTTTTGGTGCCTTGGTTCTGTATTTTTGTTGCATGCTTTGGTATTTCTTGTTGTTGCTGTTTTTTTTGGCAAGTCACGACGGTTCTTGTTGTCCTGACAAATGAACCAAACTTGAACCTAAAGGCAGAACAGAGGTGCTGAACATTTTACAAATATGAGAAACATCAAAATGAGCTCGTTTCCGTCTCACCTGATCCTTCCACAGCAAAACCCATGACCACAGAGTACAACCAGAAGTCCCTGAACAGCTTCTGGAGCCGAGGCTTGGCCTCTTTGATTGGTGGAAGACGCCTGGTCAGCTGCAAGTTTAAGAAATAGATTTAAAAAATTACAGTTACACAAAACACAACACTCAAACGGGCCATCAATGAATGACCAAACTGTAGCTTCTTTCAATATAAATAGCTCAAATCTTTCTAAACCACATTAATACAAAACACATGAAGATACAAGACAAACTGGTTAGTAAATGAAATCTAGTATTATTTAGAGATGAGCTGAGCTGTGAAGAGTTAAGGGTTGTAGTCAGTCAGCGGACTTTTTGGACTGTTTGATTTGGTCTATTTGTTTTAAGAGAAGCACACTTCAAAGTTCAGTTTTCTAGTTCTAGTCCCACGAACAGAAGCTACACACTTCCCACAAGGAAAAGCAAAGGTAAGACATTCAACAGACCTCCAGACACTTTTTACCTTTAATGTAATTATCGATGTATAATATAAAATGGTTAAAGTATTTGTTCTGCTTCGGTCTTCAGGATGTGGGTCATAACGGTCATTTCTGTGGCCTGGTTGTTGGTCAGTCCCTCCCTGGCTGGCATCAAAGACCTCAGCAACTTCAGTGACCCCAAACTAAAGCCCAGAGACTTAGAACCAGGTGATGTGGAGGCCATTCCCTTGGAGTTCCACAAAGAGAACACCGTCACCAATGACCTTGTGTTTGAAGGCTTTGAGGATGAAGATTACATTGATTTTGATAAGATCCTGGCTGCAGGCAGCGACGATTACACGTAAGTTTTAATGGTTTTGATCGTGTTGAGAAAAAACTTAAAATCAGGGAGCATAAGAGAGACTGATTTTTAAATTTACCCATATTAAGAAATGTATTTAAAATTACTCAATCTTCTTCTTCTTTCGGCTTTTCCCTCTTCAGGGCTCACCACAGAGAGTCATCCTCCTCCACCTCACTCTGTCCTCTGCATCCTCTGTCCTCACTCCAACTACCTTCATGTCCTCTCTAACCGCATCCACATATTCTTTGGCTTTTTCCTGGCAGCTGCATTTCTAACATCCTTCTACCAATATACCCACTGTCCCTCCTCTGGACATGTCCAAACCATCTCAGTCTGGTCTCTCTAACTTTATCTCCCAGTTGTTCAACCTGTGCTGTACCTCTGATGGTCTCATTCTTATCCATCCTTGTCACTCCTAAGGAGAACCTCAACATCTTCATTTCTGCCTCTTCCAGTTCTTTCTCCTTCTTTTTGTCAGTGCCACTGTCTCCAGTCCAGTCCATAAAACATAGCTGGTCTCACCACTGTCTTGTAAACTTTAAAATTATTCAGTGTGGATATAAAAAAAGACGGAGTAACCAGATGATTAAAAACCAAAGCTTGATTCAGATTTATTGATTAGATGATGAATTATTGAATGGTTTTCAGTGAGGGGGATGCGATTGACGAGATAGCCACACCAGCGCCGGACATTGACATCTTTGCTGAACCCTCCGATCCAAAAATTCGCCGAGCAAGACTCTTGCGGCTCTTCCACAGTCAATCTCGCCTTCAACGCCTCAACATCGTGAACGCCCGCTTTGGTTTTAATCTTTACCGAAGCCTTCGTAACGAAGTAAACCAGACTGACAACATCCTGCTAGCACCTGCTGGAATCTCCATCGCCATGGGGATGATGTCTTTAGGAGCAGGGCCTGAAACTCATGATCAGATCTACAAGGCTTTGGGGTTCGCCGACTTCGTTAACGCCAGCCAACACTACGACAACACGACCGTGCACAAGCTCTTCAGGAAGCTGACCCACAGGCTTTTCAGGAGGAACTTTGGGTACACGCTCCGCTCCGTAAACGACGTCTACGTCAAGAAAAACGTCTCCATCAAAGACACTTTCCGAGCGGAAACAAAAACGTATTATTTTGCTGAGCCGCAGTCGGTCGACTTCAGAGAGCCGGCATTCCTGAACAAGGCCAACCGCCGCATTGAAAAACTGACCAAAGGGCTGATCAGGGAACCACTGAAGAATGTGGATCCAGACATGGTGCTGATGCTACTCAACTACCTGTACTTCAAAGGTGAGTGGAAGTAATCACCGTCAGCTGTGTTTAAGCCTAGTACGAGTCGTTTGGTTGTTTATGTGCATAAACAGGAACATGGGAACAGAAATTTCCCAAAGAAATGACTTACTACAGAAACTTCAGAGTTAATGAAAAGACAAGTGTGCGTGTGCCGATGATGACGAACAAGGGGAACTACCTGGCAGCTGCGGACCATGAACTGGAATGTGATGTCCTGCAGGTAAGTGGCTTTACTCTCATATTAAAGCTGAAGATTCAGGAGTAAAAAAGCAAGAACTTCTGAGTAGCTTGCATGGTACTGACCCATGAGTAGGCCAGCTGAACCCTCTCGTCTTCAGCTCCCGTACACAGGAAGCATCAGTATGCTCATCGCCTTGCCAAGGAAAATCACAGGAATGAGAACCTTGGAGCAGGAGATCTCACCAACCGTTGTCAACAAGTGGCTCAGAAACATGACAAACCGGTCAGTAGCTGCTCCACAACACACAATACAGCTGCTAAAGGGAATTTGTAAATCCATTGTAGTTTGTGTATTTACGGCTTTTGTGAACTACAATACGCAGACAGTACTACAATACACTGAGATATACACTCAATATGTCGACATACCTTAATCTAGAACAATGAATCATCACTCCGAATGGGTAAAGTCAACTTTTCAACTGACGCTTTACCAGCGTCTACACCTATGGCCCTTTTCCATTAGTAACGGTACGACTCGGCACGGTTACAAGGCTTTTCCAGTAGCAACGGTTCGTGGAACTGGTCCCTTTTTCAGTACCCATTTCTCTGGGGTTCCAACCGGGCCGAACTGGCCCTAAAACGTGACGTCAGAACACTGTCGGTCACTGATTAGTCAGGGGGTGGAGTCACTGGTTGTTTGAGAAACTTTCACAACAACCCGATCCGCCATTTGCAATAACTCGAACTAGAGGAGCGACTGGACCTATTTTTAAGATTTTAAAAACAATAATGACAACACCGTGGTCTAATGCGGAGGTGCATGCGTTTTGTTGTCCTTGGTGGCCGACGACAAAATTCAGAGCGAGCTAGATGGAGCTCCGCCGGTTCCCCCGGTCCTTTCCACCAGAGCCTCGGCGCGCCCTCAGGCCAGGAAGGGAGTCATCTCTCCAGCTCAGAGCTCTGTCGGTCACTGTGGAGGATCCTCCATGCTGCCGACCCGCTGGAGCATGCAAGACCGGGGCCCACCCGAGCCCCGGTCTTACATGCTCCCACAGGCTCTGAGCTCCGCTGGTCACCGCAGACGATCATACAAGCTGCCGACACGCGAGGCCAGGGCCCGGACCCCTGCAGGCTCAGAGCTGAACCCGCCCACTAGAAACCTTAATGATAGTATAATGGAAACACAACTCAAACCATGCCGAGTCGAACCGTGCTGTACCGGTACTAATGGTACTAATGGAGCTAATGGAAAAGAGGCATTAGAATATTTCCTGTATCAATTAGGAAACTGGTACCAATAAGGGTCACTGACTTTCTGAAACATCATGTTTAATAATAAAAGGGAGGAACAATATTTTAGATTAGGTTGTGATTTAAACGGTTTTGTGACGACACTATTCTTTGATCCCAGGACTCGCGAGGTCTCGTTACCTCGGTTCAAACTGGAGCGAAACTACGACCTGATTGAAAATTTGAAGAAAATGGGCCTCACTGACATCTTCAAGCAGAGTGGAGATTTCAGTAGAATGACTTCAGAAAAGGTCACCATGAACTGGGTGAGTAAGGTGAACTCATTGATGAAAAACAAAACACTGCACGCTCCTCTTGGTGCACAGTTCTGATCCACTCCCATCTTGCTGCCCAGCTGAAGCACCAGGGAACCATCACCGTGAACGAAGAGGGAACAGAAGCTGCTGCTCTGACCCAAGTGGGCTTCATGCCCCTCTCCTCTCAGATCCGCTTCGTTGTGGATCATCCGTTCCTCTTCCTCATCTACGAACACCGCACCGACTGCCTCGTCTTCATAGGCCGGGTCGTGAATCCCTCACAGAACTGAACTATTCCTGGCACACTTCACATCTGGTAATCAAGTCCTGCAGTGATTTACAGACACCTTACTGACTCAACGTTCTATAAAGCTTTGGGTGTTTAAGTGAATTTAAACTTTTAAAGAACATTTAAACCGTGTTCTGTTGCTTAAAGCGTTGAGTTCGTCTGTCTGACTCACTGATTGTTTGTTGTCTGTTAATGTTTCACTAGAGGAAAAGTGTGCAAAACATAACATGATGTAACAGCTGCTGCTCTACTGCTGTAGTGTGATGATGTCAAAGAAAATGGATGAATAATAATGTAATGCGATAATAAAACAATATACAACAGAAAAATTTAGATGAAGTAAAATGACATTTGCTATAATACATTGTTTTCTTCAACAATGTAATTCATAAAAAATGTTTTACATCTTACTTGGTAATTGTTAATTTTGTCAACGTGACAAACAGCTAAAAACTATATTATGCAAAACAAACACATTCTACGAGAACGAAAATGTGTGAAAAAATGAAATTCTGCAGAGAACGGGTAACAGATGTCTGTGCAGCAGCTGACTGAATAAATATTTGGTAATATGGTTACCGTATTTTCCGGCGTATAAATCGCAGTTTGTTTTTTTGCATAGATTTGTCAGCCCTGACACTTATACGTCGAAGCGACTTATATAATTTATTTTTTTCCACATTCATAACACAATTTTTGACAGATGATTTAAATTACTAAGAAATGCAACAGCGAGTCCTCCTGTGCACGCTCGCTTCACTCAGCTGGTGCAGGCGGAGGAACGCTGGAGAGCTAGCAGCTCCAGCCGCGACAGATGAATGAATCGATGGATGGTGCTGCGCCACCCAGGTGAAATGGAAGCCATTTTGACCAGTAAATAAACGCATAATAAACGCGAAGCGGTGACACATAACAAGTGTGACTTATATGTTTTTTTTCCTCTTCATGATGCTTTTTTTAACTGATGCAACTTATACGCCGGAAAATACGGTAAAACTAACATTAAGTTAATCTCAGTGCTTGTGTAGACCAGTTTGTGTTGGTATTGTTACACAAACTCCTGAAGGAAACCAACGTCAAATGTCCCTAAAGAGCTCACCACAGCAATCACTGGAATAAGAACTCCAAGGTTTCCAGCACTACTTGATGCCTGGGGAGAAATGAGGAATAAAAGTTTAAAAACATGGCTGGTGTGAATTTCCTGTTGCGTTGGCGCAGCGACGCACGTACCTTCAGTGCCGGCCCCTTGTCAGAGGCCCTCTCACTTGCTCTTTTCCCTTCCAGGCCCAGTTGGACAAACAGCTCTAAAAGGTTCACCAGCAGTTCGTCCACCAGCTGCTCCCCCTGCAGGTTGGCTGCGATGTTGGCCAGAGCGTTGATCACAGCCAGAGAGCAGTGCCTTGAAAAAAAACGGCACATAAACATACACGCGACATGAGGCTGAATAATATTTTGGTTTAACTGAACTCAGCGATGTAATGATTTCAGTAGGTTTGAGCAGGACTACTAGTTTTTAATGTTTTATCTAGTGAAGGTGTCCAAAGTGAAGCCCGAGGGCCATTTGTGGCCCTTGGAGTGACTTTGTGTGACCCACGACTGCAATTTTCAGGTGTGTCTCAAAGAATTAGAATATTGTGAAAAAGTTTAAATTTTTTTTGTCAGCCATTTCAGAAAGTGAAACTCAGATATTACATAGATTCATTACCCATAGAGTGAAACATTTCAAGACTTTACTTCTTGTAATTTTGAAGATTATGACTTACAGATAGTGAAAAAACAAAATTCAGTGTCTCAGAAAATTAGTGTATTCCACAGCCAGCTGTTGGTGCCTTTGTCAGTGTGAGCAGGAGTCAAGTCCTGCTGGAAAATAAAATCAGCGTCTCCATAAAGCTCGTCAGCAGAAGGAAGCATGACGAGCTCTAAAATGTCCTGGTAGATGCTGGGTTAACTGGACTTCATGAAACACAGTGGACCAACACCAGCAAAGGACATGGCCCCAAACCATCACTGACTGGAAACTTCTCTCTGGACTTCAGACAACGTGGCCTCTCCACTCTGGGACCTTGACTTCCAAATGACATGCAGATTTAATTTAATCTGAAAAGAGGACATTGGACCACTGAGCAACAGTCCAGTTCTTTGTCTCCTCAGCAGGTAAGACACTTCTGATGTTACCTCTGGTTCAGGAGTGACTGGACTTGAAGAATGAGACATTTTGTAGTTCATGTCTAGGAGTTAATCATCTGATCAGTCTATCTGTCTGTCTAACTGTCTGTCTGTCTGTGCACAACACGTTACGGCCTGAGTGACCCCAAGGTCTCGGCTTGCTTCTAGTTTTTAAGGAACAGTTACCCATATTATGCTTTTGTTTTTGAGAACGGGCTAAAATGAACTTACCAAGCACAAGCAAACAAAAACAAATGACCCAACAAATCAACTAAATGAACAATGTAGAACTCCTTCTCCAATAAATTAGTAAACTTTTATCCTTTCTCCAAAATATTGTTCATGTAGTTTTAAAAAATAAATGTGAATGTTTTTTTATTGTGTGAATGTTTATGAAGCATTCACACTGTTGTGATCCATTTTTCTTCCGTATGTTTTTCAGCATCTTTCTCGTTCCACAATTTTGGTGCTTTTACAACAACTATCAAAACATTCAGCTCATTCAGGAGAAGGGTGCTACGACTTTTGAGATTAGTGCAACTTTAGCTTTTTGAAATATTTAGCCTTTTCTGCCATTTTTTTTTTCCCTACAAAATGAATTTAGCTCATTTTACATCCTTCATATATTTAGACCTGTTTACAACCTTTCACTGCTCCTTTCACTTTTTGTTCTGGTTCAGCTTCTTTCAGCTTCCTTGTGCACATTTAAATAAAAAAATCCAGCTACTTTCAGCTGTTTTGTGCTCCTTTCAGATTATTTCTGCATGTTTCAACTATTTCTACTATTTCAGCTACTATTTAGCCGTTTCTATGCTAATTTGAGCTTTTTCAGCTAATTCCACATTTTTTTGGGGAGTGGTGGCGCAGAGGTTAGAGAGGTGGGCTTGTGATCCGAAGATCGCCGGTTCACACCCCGGCCCCGACAACAACAAAATTGTGGATGGGGTAGGTGAAACACCCACACTTGCCCCCACCCTCATTCGCCCCACCCTGGGCCCCTTGGCAAGGCCCCCCCCCCCCCACCACCACCATGTGCTCCCTAAAACAGGTCTCTCTTGCAAATGAGTTCTCGTGGCTCAATGAGACTAAAAAAAAAAAAAATTTACACTCATTTAAGCTTTTTTCAGCCTAATTCAGCAAAAATGTGCTCTCTTCACTTCCTTATGGTAATTTAAGCTTCTTTCGGATTTTTAGCTACTATTGAGCTGTTTTTTTCTTTTGCAAATTTATGCTTTTTTCAGATAATTTTCACTTATTATGCTTATTTCTGCTTCTTTCAGCCTAATTGGGCACAATTGTACTCTCCTTCTGGTAATTTAAGCTTCTTTCTACCTTTTCAGCAGTTTTTTTTTTTTTTTTTGGTTGCTAATTTCAGCTTTTTTAGCAAATTTACTAATTTTTGATGCTCATTTCTGCTTATTTAAAAAATTAAGCAAATATGTGTTATTTATGCTTTCTTCTGCTAATTAAGGCTTGGTCTTCCATTTCAGCTGTTTTTCAGCAAGTTCTTCAGAAATAAGCATTCACACTGCATTTTCACAGGAAATGCAATTTCTCTAGTTATCTTAAATGTGAACTTTTGTGGTCCACCACCACAAGTTTTTTAATCCTGACTGTTTTGGCCCACATTTGAAAAGGTTTGGACACCGTCTTTTTTCCCCATCCCATTTATACATCATCTAAATTGCTTCAAAGTCTTAAACATGCATTTTTATCTCTTTATAAAAATGGTGTTAAAGCTCTTAACGGCAGAAATGAACCTGTAACCGTGATCTCTGTAGTCTTTGGCGGCTGAGTAGACCACAGAACTGGCTTTCACGCTGATCTGCTGAAACAGATTCCACACCTCCTGGTAGATGTATTGCTACAAGACAAAAGAAATTAGGGGGTAACACATATTCAGCAAGCTGTACGTCTATTTATAGTCTTTAAATGTAGCTTATCACAGTGATGACTGGCAAGCGGTCAAAGATACCTCATTACATCCCACTGATTTGCCAACTTGAATACTGAGCATAGTGTTTGTGTGCGCTGAGCTGAGCAAGTGAGGAACAGCCACAAAATGTAATAAATGTTACTTTGGGACCATTTCGGTGGCGATAAAGAACTCAGATTTTAAAATCTGAGTTAAGGAAGTCAGTGAAGTATTACGCTCTAGTACAGTGTAATCACTGTGGCTGCGTACTTACATTTCCTGTAATGACCATACAGCCCAGCTGGTCTACAATGAGTACATCCAGCTGTGATGGAGGCTGGCAGAACTTCTGTTGAAGGATTTGTAAAATGTGCTCCATGACTTTAGGAGTGTCTCTCAAAGCGACTGCAATATGACCCAGCGCTCGGATGTTGTGATCTGGAATTAGATGAGCATCCCTGGCAGAAAGACGAGTTATAATTTTAAAACTCTTCATCAGAGTCATCTGAACTTGGACATATTCTGGGCAACTACATTTTATTTCCCACTAGAAATGCTGCTCACTTTTCATTTTCCTGTGAAATGTACAGACGGTTGGAGAGACTGGCTAAAAAAGCCTCGACAATCACTTGGTCCATCGTCAAACCAGCTTTCAAACATCTGACAGAGGAGAGCACAAGGATTCAAATTAAAAAAACACTATATATATATTTTAACATTTGGCTCCAGCTGCTTTAAGAGTGACCTGCAGATGTTGTCGATGGAAATGTCTCTGAGCTGCTCGTACATGGAGGGCTGGTCCTTCTTGTTGGACAGCACGCTGAGAGTCGACTGGGAATGCTCATTTGTCACGTTTATCCGAATTTCTCCTGCGCCTTTAAAAAAAGTGACAGTAGAGCAATACATCCTACTATTTTGCACAGAAAGCAGAGATAGTCTAGTGTATTTCTTAATCTAAAGAGCACATTTTAAATACAGAAAGCAAACAATGTTCCTCCAGTGCAGAGCAAAAAATTAAAAATCTGAAATTAATCTCACCCCCATGTTTGAATCTGTAGCTGCTCAGATCAGTGATTGATGCCTCAGATGTGACCGTATGTCATTAGTCACACCAATCGTGTCTCGTTTACATTCAGATGTGGATATTTGTGCATTCCTTTGCATACTTTTAAATGTTTGAATCCTTTTAAATTTGGGGATTGAGCAGGAAAATGTCATAAAATGTCTATTTTATTGGATTTTTAATTTTTTTTTTTTTTACTTTAAAACTTTTCTAGCAGACGTTAACGGCTCACCTCTTTTCTGACAAAGTATATAAATGTTAATGACTGGATTCAACATAGTGACCACTCTTTTTGGTCAAATTCACAATAACGGAAACATCCAATACAAAACTGTGCTAAACAAAAAGTCCAGATAATATGTTTGCATTGTATATTCTGTATTTTAGAACCAAGAAATTATTTTAATGACAAGTTGGGAGTATCGAGTCTCAGTTCAGAAGTGGATTTGAAGTAATGCTTGTGGACTTCATGTACCTGCGCTGTACTGGTTGTGATACTTGTAGAGTTTGATAAGAACTGGGGAAGGAACCACCAAAAAGTCCCTGAGGGAGGTTGTGGCAGAGTGAGCAACAACTGGAAACCTCTCACACAGACGACCCATACCCTGAGACAGAAAAGAGACCATCCAGAAAAAATATTTAATATTAACTGAATAACAAAAAAAAGACAGCATCTCATTGCATAACCAATGCTTTGTGCAACACGTCACTTTAACTGGACAAATACTGATCCTACTGGTGCATTTTTTATGTTTTTGTGCATCTTACCTGTAAGCAACAAATCAGCAACGGCATGTGAGCAATGACGACTTTACTGGAGGTTTTAGACTGAAGCTTCTCTGACAGTTTTGTGCACAAATTCTCAGCTCCTGACAAAAAAAAAAAAAAAAAAAAAAAAAAAAAACAGCCCAAGAAGCAGAAAAAGTGAGACAAACAAATAAATGCACCCAGCCTCCCAGCAATAACAACGCCTGAACGCAGCACAGCTCGCTCTGATACGGTTGATTACCTTGCTCGTCTTTGACGGCCCACACCATGAGGTCCACGCAGGCGGCGTTGGCTTGACAACGAAGCTTGAGGGGGCTCTGTTCTCCGGCCAGCGTCCCCGTGTCATGCAGCACCCGCTGCAGCTCCGACTGACTGCTGCTAAACTGCTCCAGCACAAAGTCGTGAACTTCTCGCACAAACGCCGGCTGCACATCTGGAAGGGGAGTGCGACACTTTTGACAGTGCATTATTCATGCTTGAAAAAGGAAATTAAAGTTGTTTACTCGAACGCATGATCAAATATAGTTATATGCTTTACCTTTCATGTTGTACAGTGTGTCCCGCAGCATTTTGAACACACACACATAGAGAGGATCACTGAAGGTTTTGTAATAGAGGTTGATTCCAGGATTAGACTTGGTGACAAACAAAAACAGAAAAACAAACATTTCACTCGCAGTTTAAATTTAAATTCTGCACATGAAATGGTCGCGTCTTCACCTCTGTTAGTTCTGTCATGGCGGCGTCCAGAGTTTTCAGAAAGGATTCGGAAACAGAGTTTTTCACCTGTAAATCGACAACACGCACAACAACAAGAAGCGATTGTGTTTACAGGGTGGAAGTGGGCACGAATCAAAGCTTACAGAAAGTGTTGCGAGTCACCGCACCATGCCGAGGAGCTGTCGGAGCAGATCGACGGGCACCTCCACCTCATTTCCACCAGCTCCCATGAAAAGGGGAGACACTGAGAAACTGGAGCTGACGGAGGAGAAATAGTAGTCGGGGTCAACTGCGCTGCTGTCTGGAAGATAAGCACCTGAGGAACCAAAAATGTGCAGTAAGTCAGGTGAAATGTAACCGATGTATTCAAGTTTAATTGGTAACGTTACACAACCAGCTTTATCAACAAATTATACTTTAGTCTGCTAGTATTTAAAACTAAAAAGTTCCTGGAGAAACTTTGACGGGGACTGCCACGTGGCGGCCATTTTAAAATCTTAAAAGATGTGGTGGTAGGAGGATTGTTCAGTGACTTTCTGAGTTTTCTTTAGAGCTCTCCACTCTGGGTCATGTGACCTCACTGTGTCAGAGGCTGTGAAGAGGTCTGTCAAGCTTTTTGAATGGGAAAAATGGCGCCTTTGCTTGCAAATTGTATCACCATGGTAACTCAAAATGCCAATAAAAGTCACGGCACACACATCAGTGTGCCGAGACAGTCGTTTTTTACACGTTGCAGTTCGGGCCGCATTAAAGTTGACGGAAGAACAAGATATAAAGTTTAGAAAGCCTTTGTTAGGTGGATAACAATAGGTGGCTGCCTTACTAGGGTCCCCAATTTGTTAAAAAATTTTGACATTTTTTCTCCGTGTCTGTGGACAAAGGCAGAATGATCAAGATTTTGATACAAACAACAAATAAAGCAGCAAATTTGAAGACCTTAGTCAAGTGATGTAAAGTAAAGCGATCTTAATCAAAAAAGGGCAGATAATAAAACAGCTCTGCTAAAACGTGATGCCTAAGAACTAAATACGGCATCACATGCAGGCCAGATTATCACAATATTTTAATACATTAATGCTGGCAGCATAACTTAGTGGTTAGCACTGTTGCCTCACAGCAAGAAGGTCCTGGGTTCAATCCCCGTTTTGGACCTGGGGTCTTTCTGCGTGGAGTTTGCGAGTGGTTTCTCCGGGTACTCCGGTTTCCTCCCACTGTGCAAAAACCTGCATGTGAGGCTGCCTTCAGGCCTCCTTTGCAAAAGACATCTGCAATCGCAGTGGGATTTGCCTGGTTAAATAAAAGGTTGATAAATAACAAATAACTACAAAAGAGACTTTACTATAATTTTGTATCTACAGGTAATAAAGACAAAAGAGTTGATGCTACAATATGTTCAGTGATATTAAAGGAAGCATAACAAAGAAGTGTTTTCTTTGTTAGTTGGTTATAGACAACGACTACATAACAAAACATGGCACGTGTCAGCTATTCTCTTCTAGGTAACAAACAGTTGCAAGAACAAATTTCTCACAAACTCCTAGTGCTCGTAACGACAAGTCTTGATATGAGGACGGAACGATGGTCTCTGTTTTCTAAATCCCAAGGGAGTGCGTGTTTCCTGACTTTTACCTTCAAAGTAATGTGGACCCGGCGTCGTGGGAGAGCAGGGTGAGTGAACCGCTGGGTCCGTGGAGATCTAAGACACAGAACATTACAGAACAATACTACAATGCGCTCCCGTGTGATTTTTTTTTCAGCGCGTAATAAAACATGAATACGTGAATTCAGCCAAGCCTGTCGCAGCCACACCAACCTGAGCGGAGGAATCCAGGTTGGCCGTGGTGCGTCTGCGCAGCGTGTCGCTCTGGCACACTGTGAGCAGCGGGGACGGCATGATGGAACGAAAGTCATTGAAGGATCTGCGTCGAACGCCCTCGTTCTCCTCTGTGACGCAGCGGACCTGAGGCACGTCCTTCGGGAACAACTTGGACAGCAGGGCTTCTTCTGTGTTGCTGTAGCGGCCGAACGCTCGAGTCATGCCGAGCAGACTGGGGACAATATACCTGCACAGGAAGACTGCGGACAAGAGAGCAGCTGTGAAGATATCTTTACTGAGGTGAGGGCGGAGTGCTTTGTGATACCTTTGTCATGATTATCAGGTGTTTGACAAATCTCTTGTAATGCCTGCATGGTCTCCAGTACGGTATTCAAAATCTGTAGATAAAGCAGTAGAAAGAATAACTTAGTAATTTCCTAAAATTCATCCACAAACTAAATAAACATTGAAACCACCGCTTTCTCAGCTGACCTCTAGTCGGGAGCCTGGATCTCTCTGAGCCACATCTGACAGAAGTGTTACAAGACAGAAGCTGAAGTTCTCCGCAACGGGAAGAAATTCTGTGAAACACAAAAAGGCACAATCAGTTTAAACCAGTTTGTGCAGAATGGAAGAAAAAAAAAAAATACAAAGCAGAAAACATAAATACTGAGAAAAATAACTGTCAGAAACTCTGATCAAAACAACTTCTTGAAAAAACATAATAAATTGTGGCAGGTTATGAGTATTATTTTAATCAGTACGGTTAAAATGTGTACTTAACTGGCTGCTGCCACGAGTAAATAAAGGCTACAAGACCTCCAATATAAGAGGATTTCTCCTACCTTTTCCTTTCTTTCCCAAGCCTTCTTCGATCCACTGAACTCGCGGCAGTCCTCTCAAAAGGCTCAGCAAGTAAGGAACAAGTACGTCTTTGTGCTGCAAGAGCGAAGCACATTATTACACAAGTACACGTTGCAGCATTTTTATGGTCCAACAAGCTCAGAAAACTCAAAACTACGATGCTTAAATCATTTGAACGGTCAAAAACAGATCAGTGACAAAGACATTAGCGCAGGATAAGTAAAGCATCTTTTCACAGAGGACAGAGAACGTTTCCATTCTGTGAGTCAGTTGATGAGTTTAGAGGCTTAACCAAATTTCTAACCACAATCTTAATCAGATTAGAATGAGTTTATTATAGCGATATACAGTAATGGAGTCGCGTGAGCGTCTGGGAGCACAAAGTAGCAGTATGATATTATCATTCAATGACAGTGATGTCACAGTGAGCTGCTTTATGTTTGTTTCCCAACAAATAAATACAACTCAAGTCGTGTCTATCAAAATATAAAAATGGACATATTTTTGTTTCTTCATCATTAAAATTGAAGCTTTTACTTTCGTATTCTTTATACAAACCGGATTCCAAAAAAGTTGGGACACTAAACAAATTGTGAATAAAAACTGAATGCAATGATGTGGAGGTGCCAACATCTAATATTTTATTCAGAA